TGATGGCTATTTCTAAGCTATATTTAGAACATATTGATCTGTTATTGATTAGAGCTGATTGGTCGCTGGACGGTAGCGTGATCAACTCCCGTCAATGATTTTTGTTTTTCGTGTTTTTTGACCGAAAGCTTCTATATTTACATCTTAGCTTGATCTAAGTGCTTGTTTGAGACAACGACTAAAGTCCAGGTTGTATACTCAGGCCAACTTTCGTGCTTTTTGACCGAAAGCTTCTATATTTACATCTTAGCTTGATCTAAGTGCTTGTTTGAGGCAACAGTGTCCAAAGTTGTATACAAACATGAGATTTATCTATATCATTTCTGTCTACGACCAGCTTTCGTGTTTTTGACCGAAAGCTTCTATATTTACATCTTAGCTTGATCTAAGTGCTTGTTTGAGACAACAACTAAAGTCCAGGTTGTATACACACATGAGTTTTATCTATTTCATTTCTGTCTCAGGCCAACTTTCGTGTTTTTGACCAAAAGCTTCTATATTTACATCTTAGCTTGATCTAAGTGATTGTTTTAGACAACAACTAAAGTTCAAAGTTGTATACAAACATGATCTTTTCTATCTCATTTCTGTCTACGGCCAGCTTTCGTGTTTTTGACCGAAAGCTTCTATATTTACATCTTAGCTTGATCTAAGTGCTTGTTTGAGACAACAACTAAAGTCCAGGTTGTATACACACATGAGTTTTATCTATTTCATTTCTGTCTCAGGCCAACTTTCGTGTTTTTGACCAAAAGCTTCTATATTTACATCTTAGCTTGATCTAAGTGATTGTTTTAGACAACAACTAAAGTTCAAAGTTGTATACAAACATGATCTTTTCTATCTCATTTCTGTCTACGGCCAGCTTTCGTGCTTTTTGACCGAAAGCTTCTATATTTACATCTTAGCTTGATCTTAAGTGATTGTTTTAGACAATAACTAAAGTCTAAGTTGTATACAAACATGATCTTTTCTATCTCCTTTCTGTCTACGGCTAGCTTTTGTGCTTTTTGACCGAAAGCTTATATATTTACATCGTAGCTTGATCTAAGTGCTTGTTTGAGGCAACAACTAATGTCCAAGTTGTATACAAACATGAGTTTTTCTATCTCCTTTCTGTCTACGGCCAGCTTTCGTGTTTTTTGACCGAAATCTTCTATATTTACATCTTAGCTTGATCTAAGTGCTTGTTTGAGGCAACAACTAAAGTCCAAGTTATACACAAACATGGGTGTTATCTATTTCATTTCTGTCTACGGCCAGCTTTCGTATTTTTGACCGAAATCATCTATATTTACATCTAAGCTTGATCTAAGTGCTTGTTTGAGGCAAGAACTAAAGTCCAAGTTATACACAAACATGGGTGTTATCTATTTCATTTCTGTCTACGGCCAGCTTTTGTGCTTTTTGACCGAAATCTTCTATATTTACATCTTAGCTTGATCTAAGTGCTTGTTTGAGGCAACAACTAAAGTCCAAGTTATACACAAAGATGGTTGTTATCTATTTCATTTCTGTCTACGGCCAGCTTTTGTGCTTTTTGACCGAAATCTTCTATATTTACATCTTAGCTTGATCTAAGTGCTTGTTTGAGGCAACAACTAAAGTCCAAGTTATACACAAACATGGGTGTTATCTATTTCATTTCTGTCTACGGCCAGCTTTTGTGCTTTTTGACCGAAATCTTCTATATTTACATCTTAGCTTGATCTAAGTGCTTGTTTGAGGCAACAACTAAAGTCCAAGTTGTATACAAACATGGGTTTTATCTATCTCATTTCTGTCTACGGCCAACTTTGTGTTTTTTGACCGAAAGCTTCTATATTTACATCTTAGCTTGATCTAAGTGCTTGTTTGAGGCAACAACTAAAGTCCAAGTTGTATACAAACATGGGTGTTATCTATCTCATTTCTGTCTACGGCCAACTTTCGTGTTTTTGACCGAAAGCTTCTATATTTACATCTTAGCTTGATCTAAGTGCTTGTTTGAGTCAACAACTAAAGTTCAAATGTATACACATGAATTTTATCTATCTCATTTCTGTCTTAGGCCAACCTTCGTGCTTTTTTTCTATGGTTAGTCTGATGACAATTGACAATTAAAATAATTTGACATCTTGTCAATACATGCAAAAGTACACAGTCTGCATTGTTTTAAAAAGTTGATTATATATATAAAGTATATTAAAAACAAAGAAAGCATATCCTGACCAGGAGCACAGGTGCTTTTTAGATGGCAGAGGGCCATCTAGTGGAACAGAAATAAACTAAACATTGATTTAACCTATTCCCTGATATTTGGCCAACCCAATTTCTTGATAAATCAAGAAAAGTCAACCACGAACGCGTTTCGCGCTGTTGCCGCTCGTCAGCATGGAGTAGGCTGTACCACTACGACCAAAAAGAATTTTGGACCCAGATGCTTCTTGTGAAACCAAGAAATGGGTATTTAAGGCCAAACTTGCGTAAATACGCTTAACACATGAAAAAATGATAGAAAAAAAAAAATAAAAAGGTCAGGTGTTGATACACGTTCGTGAATGGCTTTTCTTGATTTATCAAGAAATTGGGTTGGTCAAATATCAGGGAACAGGCTAAATCAATGTTTATTTGATTTCTGTTCCACTAGATGGCGCTCTGCCATCTAAAAAGCATTTGTTCTCCTAGTCAGGATATGCCTAATTTGTTTATAATATCAACACCACACCTTTTTATTATTTATTTATTTTATTCTATTATTTTTATGCATGATACTATGTACAATGCACATGGCGCTTCTGACATTACTGCAGAGTTTGGTGGAGAATCACCAGCGGGTCTCGAGCGACACCACGTATTTCGACATCTACGAAGAATACGTAGATCGCGTGTTTTGCCGCTAAAGAGATAGTGATGGCGTGGTCCTCGAGACCAACTGGAAAGATTCAGGACTGCAGGTCTAACGGCCGGCCAATTATGTTAGTCTGATGATTGATCTAATATGGTCTGTCCATCTTTTTTTTTTCTAATCATTATATTAATAGTTACTGATAACTATCACCATCTGTCGGAATAAATATCAATTAATCGTTGATTTTTAATTATTCTTGAATATGGGCCTAATACCCATTCAGTGAATTGTTGATATTTATTCCGATAGATGGCGTGATTTATTTATATACAGGAATATTAATTTATTAAATTATATATGTAGTAATGTAGATTGTTATCCTGTTGATTGAATGTAGTGTGGCATGTTGGTTGCAGTTGTGGTGGCCACAATGTTTAGAGTAGTTTCAGTCTTGGAATTGGGATTGCACAAAAGGACGAGATATGTTGGATGTCACCATAGAGATGGGCGAGCGAGTAAGTGAAGCCGACGCCGATCAAGGCAGGTCTGTAGAGAGGTGTCTGTCAATCATCATGTCTCAAAGCGAACCGACCTGTTTGAGTAAGAAGGGGGCACACCTGGTAACCCCGACATGTTTTTCCGACCTTTTACTATCCTGGCTGTCACTCACTCGAAATTTTATTTTTGTCGTTTTGGTAATTATACTATAACTATATAACACATGGGGATATAAGTCTATATTGGAATATATTACAACATATATGAACCTCTTTCTGGCCATGTAAGATCTATCTAGGTATAAATGTATTCGCCAATATTTAGAGTCCTTCTCAAGATAATTGGAGGATCTTGAACGTCTTGTCTACAATCTCAAGAAATCCTTGTAGATCTCCCATACCATTGTCACCGTGGTACAGTAGACGTAGACAATTGGATAATGGATCTACAGAAGCTTGTGCGCACGTCGACAGAATCACATTTGATCAATACCACTCACGTCTCCCCAGAGATTCTGTTTTCTCCCACTTCCATCTTTGCTTAACTCTGGCATCTTCTCGTTCCTTTAGATGTCTTATATCCTATGTCTTAACTTCTGTTACCTTTATCTTCAAACTCTTCAATTTCTCAATGTATGAGTATGAATACAATAAATAGTAGCATATCTATACTCATAGACAACACTTAAGTGGAAAGTTTTTGATATCGTCGGTCGTCTATTATTATTTTTTTAAGGAGACAGACAATTTTGTTCACACTTGGTTATTTCGTATGTCTTCAATAAAGGTCACTATAATATCTTTAGAGTTATTGTCTGAATCCCGATACCAATGCTAAAAGTTATAACTAATAGTTGATATTTATTCCGATAGATGGCGCAAGCCATCAGCAACTTTCAATTTTGCGATAAAGAGATGTATTTTGATAATTTATGCACCGTATCTCACTACATCATCACATTTGTACTATTTTTACACAAAGTATTTATTATTTTATAAACAGAGTATCAAATTTATTGTTTATATTTTGCTACTCTGTAAACTTCCCTCATTGCTTATCTTTTGTTTATCATTCATAGTTTGTTCTTGCCTGAAATAAAATTGCCGTGCCACCCTGAAGTGTTTGCTTTTACTTATTCTCCACGTGCCAATATGTTCCAGTTGGGTTTGTTTTTACAAAATGGATGTAGCACAGTGGGACTAATCCAATTAAATCCACGTTATTTACCTCTCTGTGGCATTTATTCACCACTACAAATATACGGCTATCCTCTGCCAAATTTAATCAAGGCAATTAAGTATCAATCAATATGTCTGTAACCTAACCTAATTAGTTACCTAATTGGAAAATTTAACTATTTCTCGATCATCGTTTACCTTTTTTATCTTTTGGTAATTTTTAGATATTTATCTTGTGTTAGACAAATTTCACTTCAATTGATTTAAATCTTCTGGACATGAAGTAGGTATCAAGCGGCGTTTTATTCTTTTATATATTGTCGCGGAGATAAATAAAGCAAATTTGGGAATAATTAATTTATTATAAAGTTCTCCAATTTAGTTCTCCAATTAAAATATACAAGTATCAGAGTCATCAAGCAATTCTTAATCAATTCTGTCACCGTTTGCTTTTGTGAATGGAACAAATACCCAAACATGGCCATTTTTTATAACCATCGGTGGTTCAATGCTAGAGGGCTCGCCTGCCACGCGGGCGGCCCGGGTTCGATTCCCGGCCGATTCATTTTTTTTTACAATTTTAAAACTCATTTATATATTATACACGAATGACATCCCCGGCGCCAATTTATAATTGTAACGAATAGTATTTGAATAAAAGCATTTAATCGGGTAAACCCCGGGCGTTGCCCGGGTCATTCGGCTAGTAAAATAATATACAAGAGGTATTTATAGGGAGAACAACTTATCCCAAGGTAAAAAATAATAATAATGAGAGTGGTCAGCCACCGAGGCGTCCCGTTTTCCTTATTTGCCGATAAGATTCCGAGAACCCGTCACACCTGTGGTCGTCCCCCCGGAGTCCTGTAATGATTGACAGGTGCCCCATGGAGCTTCCAGTGACTGCAGAGCTACTTGATAATATGTACTCCTGTAAGAAGGACAGAGATGACCGAAAACTTGAGATTTTTTAATAAAATGAAAAGAATCTCATCTCCAGAAACCTGTTTAATTATTAAAATTATTTTTGTGTTTATACTAGCTGTAAGGTAGAATTTTTTTTATGTGAATTGATATATTTGGGTTATTTTGCTGAGAGTAAGTTTAATAAACATTTCTTCTACGTCTTCTCACTCTCTAAATGCTCAGAATATGTTAAATTTCCCTCTTTCATTTGATATTAATTAATAATTACGTTTTTAAGGCGTGCAATATATATAATAATTAGTTTATAGATTATAGAGGGGGTCGGTGGAAGGCTGGTTAAACCGTTTGGTTTACGACCACTACGACCCGGGTTCGATCTCCGCATTGGACACTTTTTTCTGTTTAAAAAAAAAATGCTCCAATGGCCCCCCGATTCTTGCAAAAGTCCAACCCCACCAGCGAGTGCAAGTAACCAAACGGGGCTCTGGCACATTTGTAAGTGCAAAGTCGAACTGCTTTCACATGTGTAGACATGTGGTGCGCTTACAGTAAAAAGCAGTCGCTAACTACCCACCATGATTATCATGGCCTGTACCACGTGTACTAGGGATAAGCAAAAAAAAAAAAGATTTATTTCAACACACAAAACGCGATATCCCGCCTAGGGATAATTGCGTCGATTTACATTTTTTTAAAAACAGAAACAGTTATAAACATATTATACGAGAAAAAGTAATCGAAATAAAAAGAGAAACAATAATATATATTAGGAACCTGAACTTCTCAGGTTTAAAAGAAAATCATAAATATATTTACAAAAATAATTAAAACTATGATAATTTTCTCTGCTATTTACAAATTGATATAGATCTACAACATTATTTATTGTCTTTTGTACTAGCGGTGAAGAAGGGTGGGCATTCCAGCAATAGGTGTCTCGAATTCTGGAATTCGTTGCCACAATGACAGCTAGAGTCTTCAACCGCGCCAATTTTTGATAAAAATCCATTAAAATTTCCATGGTTCGTCATAAACTGTAATAATAATTAGTTTATATTAACTTAGGTTTACATTTTTATATTTATATTTTGGTAAATTTTAAATATTATTTATGTGTGTAGAATTTGTGAAGTAGAATTTTCTAGTAATTGGCAATTTGTGTTGTTTTGTAGTATAAGTATTGATTTTATGTTTTTTTTCTCTCTAAATGCTTATAATATGTTAAATTTCCTCTCTCAACTAATACTTTAATTAATAATTAGATTTTTAAGGGGCACGACATCTAATACTGGTCTTATTTTAACTTATGTTTACCCTTTATTTTATCTTTTGGTAAATTTTAAATATTATTTTTTTGTGTAGAATTTGTGAAGTAGAATTTTCTAGTAATTGGCAATTTGTGTTGTTTTGTAGTATAAGCATTGCCTTTATGTATATAATAATGCTTATAATATGTTAAATTTCCTCTCTTTCTCTCTCTCCTTCAATTAATATTTATTAATAATTAGGGTTTTCGGACGCAATTGTTATCGCGCAATTGAAAGTTGCTGATGGCTTGCGTCATCTATCGGAATAAATATCAACTATTCGTTGATTTTTAATTATTCCATAATTGACCAAATTCCCATTCTTGATTGATAAAAAAAAGCTAACCACGTACGCGTTTCGGGCTGTTGGCCCTCATCAGCGTGGTGCAAGCTGTACCACAACGACCAAAAAACTGTCATTCAGGCATCCTGAAAAATCATGAAACGGGTAGTTTGTATCACGCTGATAAGAGCCAACAGCCCGAAACGCGTAGCTGGTTAGCTTTTCTTGATTAATTAAGAATTGGTATTTTGTCCAATTCTGGAATAATTATAATCAATGAGAATAGTTGATATTTATTTTCGATAGATGGCGCAAACCATCAGTAACTTTCAGATGCGCGATAAGAAGACGCCTTTTTCATAATAAATACTTTGTTACAAAAGATCCTGTCTCACCATCAGACTGACTATGGTCTAGACATGGCTATAAAGACGATGAATCAATCTAAGAAAGAAGGTCATTCTATAAACGTCCTTCATCGTGATTGGTTCATTGTAGAGTTATTAGTGCCGATGGACCAATCACGATTCATTTACCCTTTGTGCTTAATGCTCATTGGTCTGATTAATGAAGTTCCTCGAACGTGTTGCACCAATAGGTTTGCTTGGTAGATATGCAAATTTATTTATTTATGTTGGTATATGAAATTTGCCTTATGCAAATTATACTTTTAGGGAAGTCGGTGGAAGGATGATCTAAACTATTGGATTTCGACCACTACGACTCGGGATCGAATCCCGCATTGGGTACTTTTTCTGATTTAAAAATTAAATGCTCCAATGGCCCCCGATTCTTGCAAAAGTCCAACCCCACCAGCGAGTACAAGTAATCAAACAGGATTCTGGCACATTTGTAAGTGCAAAAGTCGAACTGCTTTTGACATGTGTAGACATGTGGTGCGCTTACAGTAAAAGCAGTCGCTAACTACCCACCATGATTATCATGGCCTGTGCCTCGTGTACTAGGGATGATAATAATTTAAAAATACTTTTATAGTACCTTTTTCCATTATTAAAATAATACGCGAAATACATTTATAAACAAATCTTAAGGAACATGGTGCCTCTCCCGTCAAAATAGACGTCAAAACTAGACGCCATCTATTGACTGTCACCGCAAACTAGCGGCCTCGGGTCAGTGACAAAGCCACAACACCAGCTTTGGTAAACTAAGAAGTGTCCACCTAGAGACCATGGTTTCGGGCTAATGGCCTTCGTCAGTCTAGGGTGGACTTTATTCCACGAGATCCACAAGGGATCTAATGGAATCTTCATGTTTCAATCATATACCACTTAACACATAGCAATAACGCGCCATCTATACATATAAAATAAAAGGATTTAAAAGCGCGAATGTTTATTTTATACATATTAAAAACTTCTACTGTCCTTACTGCGATGAAAAAATATATTGGGAGGGCTTGGTTCATCAGTGGTGAACCCTCACAGCGGTTTCGCCAATTTAATCCACCAGACCGCTTCTCAGAGATCTAATACTGTATTGGATCATTCTGCGTTTCATCGCAGTAAGGACAGTAGAAGTTTGTAATATGTATAAAAGAAACATTCGCGCTTTTAAATCCTTTTATTTTATACATATACCACTTGTTGACTTTTCTTAGACTTTTCAAAGCTACTGATCCAAGGTATATAGATCAAACCCTATTGATTTACAAGAAAGAGAACAAAATAAAACTTATAACATGGTGAAACAAAGAGAAACTTTAAGAAAAAGGCATCTCCTTATCCTGCAACTGAAAGTTGCTGATGGCTTGCGCCATCCATCGGAATAAATATCAACTATTATCGTTGATTTTTAATTATTCCAGAATTGGCCAAATACCCAAATAAGGAGATGCCTTTTTCTTAATTTATGCACCTTATCCCAGTACAATGTCACATTTGTACTATTTTTTCACATTGTGTAGCGTTCTCACGCAAATCTGGCCTTAACTACCCGTTTCATGATTTTTCAAAATGCCTTAATGACCAATTTTTTGGTCGTTGAGGTACAGCTTGCACCACACTGATGAGGGCCAACAGCCCGAAACGCGTCCGTGGTTAGCTTTTCTTGATTGATCAAGAATGGGTATTTGGCCAATTCTGGAATAATTAAAAATCAACGAGAATAGTTGATATTTATTCCGATGGATGGCGCAAGCCATCAACAATTTTCAGTTGCACGATAAGGATATGCCTTTTCTTAATTTATGCACCTTATCCCAGTACAATGTCACATTTGTACTATTTTTTCAAAGAGAAACTTATCTTCTTAAGGTAAGCTCCTATTTACTTGTGTTCTCACACACATACTATGTGGAAACAATTAATTAATTAAACTTAAAATGTATAACACCACATGATGCAATAGCGCGCCATCTATTATGGAAATTCGGAACTATTATAGACGCGTATGATTCTTTTAAAAATTTAACAATTTTTACTGCCTTTACTGCAATGGAAAAATTAATGGGAGGCACTGGCTCATCAATGGTGAAGCCTCCCATAATCTTTTTTTTTTGTCGCAGTGGTACAGCTTGCTCCACGCTGACGAGCGCCAACAGCTCGAAACGCGTTCGTGGATGGATTTTCTTGATTTATCAAGAAATCGGATTGCTCCACTAGATGGCGCTCTGCCATCAAAAAAGCACATGTGCTCGTGGTCAGGATATGCTTCCTTTATTTTTAATATCAACACCTGACCCACTTTTTTTTTCTATTGTTTTTCATTTATCTCTTTATCTCTTTATGAGTTATTAATGAATTATTTTATGTACTTATATTACAATTTTTTAAATATAAGATAGAACTTTTTTTCCTTTTATATTTTAAGATATTTTACATTTTTGATTGCATTTTTTATAATAATTTTTTCATACACAAATTTTCTTCCACCTACTCTGTATTTTAATTGATTTCAACTGTGATATTATAACACTATGCGGCGCTGAGTTTGTGTATACAAAAATGTAATGCCTCGATAAAGGTTGGCGTTCAGCCAGCCGAAATATTGGCAAAATAAATATTTTATTAAATCCAATATATGCCA